ATAAAAACGTAGCACATCAAAGAAAAGGTGTGAGCCCCGACGCTGACGTGTTAACCGACGCTGCGCCGGCGCAACCACTGATGAAATAATTGACACTCCACACATCCACACAAAAAGTCAAACAAAAACTCACTTGTTTTAAAGTGAAATGTTTTTATGGAACTTAATTGTTTTGTTTCCTTAAAAAGAAAAAAACCGATGTTCTCACCATTTGGTCTGTATTAAGTGCTAATATAACTTTTGAAAAGTAAGCTGTCTTCCGAGTTTTTGTTCATAGTTCCTAAGTTTCGTAGTGTTTTAGCAATTCATTCTTGTGTAAAAGTTCTATTTGTATTATATTTTGTTAGTATTCTTTAAGACAATTATTGTACTTTTGCAAATGCTTTTTCGTCTGAAAGAAAGAGACCTAGTTGGGCTCATTTCGGGACGACATCAACGGTTACTATGTTAGATACTTTATTTAAAAAAATTGGTAGATATCCTAACACTCCATAAATATAACGATGAATGATATACTTTACATTACCTACTTTAAAAGTTAATAAGTTATTTCTCAGTCGTACACATTAGAAAGCTTCACAACATTATAATTTACCTACCCAGTAACCCAAAACAATAGCAATTCGCATACCAGTAACTTTAATGAACATAGAACATTTCATATTTGCCACATTTTGATCAAAATTACATATCTATAAAGCCAATATTAGGCAATTTCCTTTCACTACAAAAGTATGGAATCACGTTAAAACTTTGCCTTCATATTGGCTCTATTATCTACAGAAAGTGTGAAATTAAGTGGCAATTTTGTGTGGCAACGCGTCAATTAGTCGACATCAGCGACAGACGGGATCACACAGCTGATGACGTTTCGTAAAACATTCGTGGACAAAAGTAGCAAATCATTGTTTCCATTTACGACCAAATATTGTGGGGCTGACAACATTTCGGGTTTGTTCTTTATTTTGAACAATTAATTAAACAATTACTGTTGAATGTGTATATCACAGTGCTAATTACAAGTATTTCGCTAAATTTTCCTTATGTATGTTCTTAGTTCCTGAAATGAATTTTTAAATAGAAATAGACAGCAATCACTTTATTATGAAGTTCTGTGCAAGAGTTATAGGTGCGACCCGCAACAGTGCTACATAAGAGCCATCCGTTACATATTACTTCTTAAGCTCATAATCAAATTGGATACTTGCCTTATACAAAAATAAATTATTTTGACTATTCAATATAATAAAATATTAAAAATTATCACACTTTCATTACCGCAAGCTTGGTTGGTTGGCAAGAACCCAATTGTCTAAAGATTTTTATTGTTCAATCGACACCACCAAAATGTTTCCAACGTCTGTATGTCGGCTCCATAATGTTTGGCTGTTTACGGCACTCGGCGTCAGGCCACGCACAGCTCGATACCGATCTTTCACACAATCGGTACAATCGCTTTTTCTAAGCAGTTTGTCGATAACGAACAAACAGAAACTATGTCGCTTTGTATTTTGTAATAACATGGAAAATTATGAATCATTCTGAATCAATACAAACTTCAGGCAGCTTTATTCTTTTGGGTACATGAAATTTTAACAACGGTGTTAATTGTCGTAGTACCTAATGGTTTTAGTGCTTCAAATATATTCATCTTCTACGGAGGTGCAAATTGTATGTGTGTAGATAACTAGAAACTTTTAAAATTTAATATTTTTGTTATACAATGACGCCTCTGAAAGCTACCACTGAAAAACCCTCTCTTTTCCTCCTTTCAAAAGTTTACAGAAATGTCACAAAACCTTGCGTATTTAATAACTTACTTATTATCATAACTAGCTTTTACCCGCAGCTTCGCTCGCGTCACAAAAGGATAAAAAGTAGCCTATGTGACATATACCAATACACACAGCGCCATTTTTAAAAAAATTTTTGTTTTCCCTTGGGAATATCAAATTTTTCCGGGATAAAAAGTACCCTATTATTTAATCCGGACTTCTAACTTTACGTCTGCAAAATTTCAAAGCAATCGGTTTAGTAGTTACGGCGTGAAAGCGGAACAAACAAACAAACAAACTTATTTTCTGATTTATAATATTAGTAAGGATTCATTAGAATGAATTCTAGTTTCACAAACCGTTAGTAAGTTCCCAAGCATAATCCAACAAAAATAATTGTACCTATGCAGAATTTCGGTATCAACTGGCGTTACTTGTAAAACTCCAAGTCATGTGTCCTACCTTCTCGTCATCATAAGTGACACTTAAGTGGAATGCAGGCGAACTTTGACCGTTAAAACATTCGCGCCCCGTATGCCCAACATTAATGCACATGTAATTTGCAATTAACGTCGCCCGATACTGTATTATTAAGTTTTTTCGCCTTCTTCCTGAATATTTATGGGGTAATTTCACTAAAAGCAACAGATCATGTACTAAGATTAGGGAAGAATGAGCACTTTATTTTACATATTACGTTTCCTTCGAATTTAATTTCGGTACTGCAGTGTTTAACCTGAAGTGTACCTACCTACTGAATTTCTTTATACCTACTTAATTGGTTCGTTTCAGGAAAACGGTAGACAAATTATTTATAACAGTCCTCAGATAATCCAGATAAGAAGCGTTTGTTGCGCAATTGAATCACAGCTGGTACCTAGGTACGAAGGTAACTGTATCCTGCATCACCTGATATAAAATATAAAGTAAAAGTTGTCCGTCATGTTGCTACATTTCTAGAGTTACAGTACATAATAAGATAATGTCGTATACCTAGAAGGCGGTGTAGTTTTAAGTGGCATGTAAGGAAGAGTCGTCCGCGCCGGCGCAGGCGGCCGGCCGCCCCTCTAATTACCGCTCAGATCCGACCTCGATAGCGCAAGCTTTTATCTCGAACACTCTTCCATTAAGCAAATATACAGCTTTGTAGCGCGATAATCATATACTACAGTATTTTCCAACTCTAAAACCAATTAAAATATTTTGATAGACAAAAATAAATTCTAATTATATGTTACGGGCAGCCGCCATCTTGTATCGGTCTTTACTTCTCAGGGACCGCTAATGGATGGTTTGTCAAACATTTCTGCTTCCGCGGCAAACGTGTTTTATCTGTGTTATATTATTTAATTTATTCACAAGATTCTATTGTTGTTTTAAAACAAAGGCGGAAACAAGCAATCTATTTGGAGCGTAATTTTGACATCAACAGATAAGAGATTAAGTGGAGGTTTACAGCGTAATTACAGAGATAAGTACCTGGGAGATAATGTAGGTACCTACCTACCTATATTTACCTAACATATTACATATGTAACTGTATTAAAGGTATCAACATATTTGTAAATTCATACAATCACGCAGGATTAATTAAATCGCAGTCGCTAATCATGTGCGATAGATCATTAACAATATCTGTCCAATAATCCGAATCAACTGGAAATTAAGTGAAATATAGAGATGAAACACGTCAGGGCCGTAATGGAGCGAATAAAAGCCCGCTTTGTCGGTGGCTAATTTGCGAATTAGCGTTGTGCAATGAGTGCCCGGCCACTCAAGCGCAGCGTAATCTAATTAATTAACCTTTGTCGCGCGTACGGGGCGTGAAACTCGCGCGTTTCTCACACCCGCTACCCGCACTGAACGTAAACGGACTAAAGGGATGCTCAATTTTACTTCTTTATGTTGATCTTTATTTTGTTTTTCTTTTGGAATTTAGGTAAATAGACACTTCTCTAGGACTGATTGAAGTTAACGTAACTATAATAATGTTTTTGTTGTTTCATACAATTTTAAAGAATATTTACAAAACGAATGATTGATTAGAAGTTTACTCGAAAGATCAGGTACCCACGTTCTTATGAAAGTGCTTAGGTATGTCTCACATAATAAATAAAAAAATACCAAGTAATTTCAAATACCCTGGCAAGTATATCACAAATACGTATCTCCCAATATGAAATGATAAACAAAAGTGTAGTGTAAGTTTCACCCTCCTTGACACCTACATTTCCTAACACCGCACTAAGGTAACGTTATTTGGACGCTCCTAATGGAGTAAGTGCTTTGGCAAATGGCCTGTGCCACGGAGCTTTTAATGCAATTTCGTCTCCCTTTGTAGCCGGGAATTGGCGCAATCAATCCATTTACACTTTGTTTCGCCAACAGTGCCACTACCCGCCACCCGCCACCCGCCAGCCGCCACACGTAAGACATGGCTTTTAGCTCAACTAAATTGCTTTCCTGGATTTTTGCACTATACAATAACTTTGTTTATTAGGTTATTAGGACTGCCTCGTTGGCCGAGTTGTCGCAAGTGCGACTGCCGCGCAAGGGGTCTAGAAAAAACTCAGTAGTAGCACGGAGTCTGGAATTGTGCCCGGTATATGGCAATAGGCTTACCCCCTATTCCATGGGACTCGTAACATAAATAGTAAAAGTTGGTTGTTACATTGTACTGTGGCGTTAAATGCTGTAATGTACACCTATGCCTACCCATTCGGGAATAAAAGCGTGATATTATATTATGTTGTTTATTAGGTGAGTTTCTCGGAGTATTCTAAGTTTGTTTAGAAGTTAAATGTCTGAATTATCGGTGGTGTAGCGTGGCCTAACTTACAGAACAAGCAGTCACATCACCAAGAAACACTCTATAACTATCTAGGTAGCTGTAACTGCTATACCTGACTCGGAACTTTAACCTGAAACGAACAAGCAGTGCTTGGTAGACTTCCTACTACCGTCTTTCATGCGATTTTTCCGATTTCAGAAAAGTTTTTAATTTTATTAATGCCACAATGTACCTAATGAGAATAACTTAGTGCCAATTGTAGTTGTCAAGTTAAGTCCTCGCGTGCTCACCAAGCACGCGTGTTTTCTCATTTTTCTCCTATGAGGATCATGAATCTAGTCCGCATGAATGAGGTCGGTTAAAAAAGTTAAAACCTTTATTTTCTATTCATAAAAAATAATAGTTTGGCAAATTTAATGTCAAAAATAAACGTAGCGGCATAGATTAACATAACTGCTGTAATACGAGTAAATAATCAGCTGATAATTATGAAAAGAATACAAATGTGTAAGAAACTTAATCGGAATCACACGTTTAATAATAGTAAGTTAAATTTTCTTTGGATCTTATAAAGCAACCTTAATATCTTGTGCGTCACGTGGTTTGGTACTATAATGCATTTTTTTACTTATATGCCTGTTTTCAGACTTGAATCATAAAGTTACTCAGCTCAATGCTGCCGTGAACCCTGAGATTCTTGTTGGTCAAATATGGCTGCAAGACGAGCCGACAGGTGTAGAGATTATCGAACTTAATACTTCGGATGAAAATGATCCGCCTCCAGTTGAAAACATGAACAACTGTATGGACCATGCCTGGAGTTATTCTAAAACTGAAACACTACAACACTTAGAAGACGATTACAAAATCAACCAAAAAGCAAGAGAAAGGCGACGCATGCAGCAAGACCACCGTTTCTTTAATGCAAGTACTGCAACGAACACACATGATCAATACACAAATAACAATTATTATGATTCTGATATAGAAAACCAGTACAATGAGGACAATCATCTAATCAATCACCAAGTAAATTGCTTTACAATAATAAACAAACATTTCATTCAATCCGATTCTTCGTCTGATGCGGACCTTGAGATAATTACTTCTAACGATATGTTAATGGAAGGCAACAATTGGGATTCAGGGAACCGTCCTTACAAGGAGGAAATCATAACTTATGATCCTGATTTAGACAAAGAAGCACGTACTATATGGATCTACTCGTTTAAAAATAAACATCTCCTTGCAGAAGATGATTATGACTGTGGTAAGACGGCTGTTAGGGATATTTCTACTTCTACTTCATATTCAACAGAAAACGAGGAGGAAGAGAAAACTAAGGATATAAGCACGAGTATCAGTCGCTTAGGATCACCGGTACCTCCAGCGTATATACCGAGACTTAATTTATCTTTCGGTCCTACATTGTCCACCGTTACCGAAGTATCCGAACCGAACAAGCAAATGTCACCGAACCCTTCATATAAATCCCCCAAAAATGTACTTCAGAAACCAATAAACGGCTGGTTCAAAAATGAAATGAATAAAATTGATAGTGCGAGAACGGTTGAAAAATTTGAAAAATCAACAAACATCATAAATTGGATGGCATTATCACCGAGAGAGAAAAGACGTAGGTCGAAAGACCCAGGAGATAAGTGGGAAGGAAACATCTTAAAGTTAGAGAGATTCCGAAATGAAGAAACATTAGTTAATAAAGCACAGGAGCTCCCAACAATAAATCCTATTCAAGAAAACAAGTCCCATCAAGAAAATTCATTCAGGTTGCAAGTTGATGTCGATGTTCACGTTAGTGTAAATGAGAAAACGCCGGACAGAAGGTCTTTAGGAACACCAAATGGTGGAGAAATTGTTATGAATTCCAAAGTTGAAGATAGAAGTCCTATCAGCTTGTTAAAATGTCTCCCACTTGATTTTACAAGCAATACGTTAGACCGCGGAGACGATATGAAATTGGAACAAACCCATGTTAATCATGACATAAAATTGGAACAAGCTGAACGAGTCGATTGTGGCATAAAATTTGGACAAACTCAACAAGTGATGTGCTTTACACCTCGTAAACCACATCCATTATATTTACGTGCTCACGGACCAATAGATGCACCTGAAGAGAACATAAAAATTGATCCTGTCGTTTGGGACCGTGAAGAACGGGAAGAGGAAGAAACTGCGTCTTATAATTATCTAACGGACAAAATGAAATGTGCTGTAAAGGATCCAGACGATATGTGGATGAGGAATAACACGCCGTTTCTACAGCCGTCCAAATGGGACGACTACGCAAGTTTAGCTGACAGTCCCCTCACAATCCAAATGTCGATAAATGAAACGGAAATTAAACGCAAAACGTGGTTTAAGCGAGTTTTCAAACGAGTAATTAATTGTTGTCAAATAAAATCAGAAAAATAAAACAACATGCTTTTAATTGGCGAATTTATTAAATTCAATCACTATCAACTTCCAGTAATTGAAGTACTTACACAAAATAAACCTGCTATTAAAGGTACTTGCAAAAGAGAGTTCACGACACAAAAATAATTCAGCTTGTATCTGTACGCACACACATACATACAGACCGTGTTATTCTATCACAATGTTTTACACACAAAACGATCATCTAGTTTCGTAATGCATAATTTCCTATTTTAATAGCGTACAAAGTTTTAGTTTTTCTTTAAGTAGCAGAAACTCAGATACGTTATCTAGCGCAAATTATTTTTATAAAACTTAGCCCAACTGCCATCTAAATGACGTTAAAGGTGGCATGTTATTGATATTTATCTACTAATAACAGCATTGGAATTATAAGTTCTGGTTGTTTTCTAATAATACTATAAATTCATAAACATCATATTTGTTTGTCTTATCGTTGTCATCTTATGGAAAATTTTGAATTTACCGGAACACAATTAGAACCAACAATTCCAATACAGTTTAATATCTTCAAATTGGAACAGTACACTTGGGCTTCCAGTAACATACTAGAAAAATTGCGCTTTATTAAAATAGATCGTCTATCGTCATAATTATGAATCTCACAATCCATTAGGGTTCACATCCACCCTATATCTACATAAATATTATTATACCAACCAATAACATCACAATTTGCACTGTGGGCAGCAGGGCAACCTACTCTTTTCTGTCAAATTTCTTTATTATGTTTTCAACTCTATCGTTTAGATATAAAGTAAAAAATACAATGAAAAAAATTGACACAATGGAGTAGATTGATGTGCTGGCCACTGAACATATTTTAAGCAGTATATTGTATGTGTTTTACTTCTATCAATGTAGAGGGAGTGGATGTGCAAAGAGGAATGTAAAGTATTATACAATACGTACTGCAAACAGAGCCTTAACTAAAAAAATCCAGTTTCAAACTAATTATAATGTAAAATGCATCTTAAGTATGGCATCCACCATTCCATCTAATCAGCAATACATGATCACGCTTTTATACAAAATACATACTGTTTCTTTATAACCTTAGCCTTAACACTTGTATGTCAAGCTCAAATATCTATTTAATAATGATTCATCAACAAATGCATAGACTATTTAATTTGTATGAGTATTTATTAATATATCTATAACGTAATATTTATCGACTACAGGAGGAAAGTGCTACAAAATACTTTGTTACATCGAAACTTCACTAATGTCATATCATCATTTAGGGTTAAAAGCAGTATTTATTGATGGTACTTCATTAGTAAGGCACTTGTCTTACCGCCGACGAGAAAACGACGTGTAAACTAGAGATGCATATATGAATAGTTGATCGCTGACTGTCCACACTTGGAACTATAAGCGTTTGCTCCCACCGGGTCGCCAACACGTTTCCAATTCCAGCTCATTCATCGTCGTTCATCGTTGCCGGTAAGACAACTACCTTAAATCGATGTAACTGTCCAGCAAAATGTGAAACACTATTAGAACCAAAGTATAGTGCTTCTTATTAATTTATGCGACATATTCCATTTATATATTCAAAAGTTGATGAATTTTTAGAAAAAGTATGGCCGAAATGAAAAAGGTCGCATCGAGCGTAGCATTTTTATTTATTATCAAAGAGAGTTGACAATCAATAGTATTGCTATTTTACGCAAGTCACGGCCATTTTCATTTAACGAGGCATTTATAATTATTTCACATTATGTAAATAATAGCAAACATACAAAACACTGAGACCTGCTCAATCAAACTCCAGGAATGCCGCCGTAATATGGACTTTAAAATGTATAGATAAGGTAAAATTTTAAATTCAATAAGTAAATAATCACGGGTAAATATAATACATGATTAAATTTCAAAATACTCGAATATGAAATGTTCAAATCACTGCAATACACTATCACACAATTTTATATCTTAGCACGGTATGATAAAGATGAATAAATAAACTTCATTGTTTGTATTGACCTAGTTACAGCTACAATAAGGCCTATGTTCCTCGTGTCGACCTGTTTGGAGGCGAGAAAGGTAAAATAACTAATGTATTGAAAGTTTTCAAGGCGATGTTTACAAGGGCTTCTGTCACACATAGATATGCATTAGTTATACTATAGTAGACCATACACTTGTGGAAACAATTAGACATACTACTAACTAGATCTTCACGTTTCACTATCAACTTTAAAGGTCTACGCAAAACCGAGACGGCATGGCAAAGGCGCCGTCAGGCAGTCGCGATATGTCACGGTATCATTTAAACAGCACAGCAATTTATGTTGTATTTCTATAAAACGTTTGAATGTCCATTAGCAAAAATTTTAATCCCTTGCCATGCCGTCCCAGTCCGCGTAAGCCTTCAGTATCAGTATTGTAATATTTTGCGTTGTGAAGCCCTCATCCACAAAATCAAAGATGACGCATGTGACCTTATCGAAAACTTCAATGAAGTGAATCATCAATTATTAATGTCGCTTAGAGTAAACATTCAGAACTTTTGTTCAGTTAAAGATTTTTTACAAATAGGAAGCAACTGGTGGCCGCTAAGTATACCACAACGCCAAAGGAGTCAGTGTGTTATCGACCTTTTAAAAGGAGTGACTTCGATGTTTTCTTAAACATTTGACGCATTTATTTTATGTGTTTTATGACTGGAGTCGTCTATGAAGTCATTGTAACATCTATTTCGTCATTTTAAAATTTTTCCTCTAAGCATCATTTTGGTAATCAGTGAAATCCGCTTCATTGCAGTTCTCTATATGCGGAAAGAGTGGTGTTGTTGGTCACGTGGTGGGTAAGGCAGGCAGCGCGAGCTCGCGTCGGATGTAGAACAGTATGTACGGCTTGCAGCCCGCCACCGCCGCCGCGTCCGCCGCGCGCACTGTCTGGTCGTTGAAGTGAAACCATTGCTCCTCGTTGATCGCGAACGCTGTGTAGTGACCCGAACCAGCTCTGTAGAGTAGACACAGATATTGATGAATATGGCGAGTAGGAATTTAGGAAACATGGTATGTAGAGAGTGGAGTTACATATCATTTTTGCATTTAATTTTCAGACTAATCCAGAGTCACGAGTAGGTTCCCATACCGGTCACGGCTCGAAATAGGGAACGGAACGGAGTAGATTTTAGTCAGTAAGACTGAGACTCGCCCCCGCCTCATATAGGCCCGAGGAGTCATTTGATGATTTTGCTCCCAATAAGAGTGATGAATGTTATATTTAGTTCAAAACTAGCTTTTATATGGCAGCTAAGAATAACATTATTAATTATTATTACAAAAAAAGTGTACATACCCAGAGCCATGGTGTACGATGACTGCGGCGAGATCGTAGAGATTGTTCCCGAGACCGGAGCGACGAGTGTCGGGCACGTTGGAGAGCACGAAGCGGGACATGTCCAACGCACGCAGCGGGAATGTAATGCTCGTGTCTACCTTGGTCCTGTAACATTATGGTAATGTTTTATTAATGTAATTATTGTTTTAAAGAAGTTATGAACCAGTAATAGGGAATGACAGCAATGTGAAGATAGAAAGAAATCTGGGGTTCGTCAATAACAATCAGATAGTGATTAATTTACTGAGGGGCGATTTTTCAATCATCAGTTATTGTTAACTGTAGAAAAAAATTGTCAGGTTTTAATATTTTCAGTAAGAATTGTCAAGTATTCTAACTTTTTCCTCTGATAAAATGTAACTGGCGTTGGAAAAATCGACCCCAAGAGGAGTATTGAGGCGTGATCTGCCGGTCTCGAACAACTGACACATGCGAGTGTTAATTTCTTCACACCACAATAAAACACTTCTTGATTGATAGTACAGCGCATATAGATAGTACGGCTTAACTATGGATAATAACAAAAGGAATAAATAAAAGCTACAGTTACCTAAAATAGTTATGCCACCGGAATCTTTTGAGGTGCAAACATAGCACGTTGGGTAGACGGCGTATCCAGAACTGTTTGGTTGATTTCTGTTTACTCTTACAACTGCTACAGAAGTACCGCTCCGTGTCTGCTAATTCCTCTACCTGCAACATTTTGTTAATACAATTAATATAATTCGCAATAATAACATTAAATTCTTATAATGAAGATCATATTCCCAAGTTGAGCAAACAACTAAATATGAGTAATTGAAAATTTCAGTTCTCAAAAATAGCATAGCATGATGTCTGACTCAGGAATTGTGTTTGGTGCATGATAATAAACTTGCCCTTGTTAAATGGGACTCATAACTTAGGTAGCAAGTAGTAACAGAAGAGCTGTTACCATTAACATTTTGGGGAACATAAGTGTGAATAGATTTTACATAAATAAAACTTCTAAATGCTACTAAAACATACCTGTACGAAACTCGACAGACAGTCGGCTAATGCGACAGGCGCGTCATGTCGCCCAGTCTCCGGTAGTTCTAAAGAAAGGTCTAAGAAGGGATCAAACTTTTTGCTCTCCGTGCCACACGCCAAACAACGTACCTATAACAAAAAGCTAAAATTAGAAACTGCTACGACCAAACTTACCCAAAATCGTACAGGATAGTAAATGATTAAAAAATGTAATTATTTTAGGAGAAAAATATATATTATAAATAAATAGGAAGTATGTTTGTTACTCAGACATTCTTGCGTGTGAGATCACGTGAAAAACGGTATCAGTTAAATACATATACGTAGACTTAAACAACGCTTTTTAATAAGATAAGCTATTAAAAAATAATATCCATAAAAAGGAGAATAAAAAAATAAAAATAAATCATACTTCGCTCTGTAGCGTGCCGCCGAAGACCGCAGTGACGATGGAGGCGGCGGGCGACCGCGCCACGAAGCCCGCCTCCGCGCGCTCCGGCAACAACTGCTGCAACTCCGTGTGTAGTCTGACAGAATTACATTCATTTTATTCATATACCTACTGCCATTAAACATATAATCAGTCTCACACACTCTTTTCCTAAATATAAGAAATATGTTAATTTCAAAGGAATAACATCTGGCCTTTCTGACTGACTAGTTTTTGACGTTATGCTTTAAATAACAATAAGAAGTTGAAGCTATTTAAGTTGATTATCTTGTTGACTCTGTTTCAATCAAGTTCCACCATTTTAGTTAAATAATCACCAAAAATTTGAACTCACCTGTCTAACATATACCGAAGGAACTCATGCGCATCCTGCTGTTGATATCCCCTAAACCTGGGCACGACCTTCCAGATCACAAGGAACAGACATTCCGGGGAGATTGCACCCTTCGAACCACAACCACTATTCAGATTTATTAACACCTGGAAATATACAACTAATCGTTATTTTTAAGTAATCATTCTCAACATTTCATAATTTGTATCAGTAGATAATAATGTGCGACAACATTAAACATGTAAACAATTTAGTTCCATGTGTGCAAGTTGGTGACCATTACTCGGAATATCTTTCTGAACTTTGCTCAGTGAATCATCTGATTGCCGAGCTTGTTAACAAAACTGTTTGTATGTCACAAAATATAATTATTCTAGAATGTTGTCAGAATTTATTACCTTCCTAAGTTCCTCGGCCATGACAACATCGTGCATCTCCTGACGTGTATAACTCCTAGAGTGGTACACTTTGCGTCCATTCGTCTTCATTTCTAAAGACGGCAACTGACTAAAATAGCAACTGAACTCCTGTATATTACTAAGACTCTGTAGTACAGCATTCATAAAACAAGTATTGCCTAAATTTTTTAATCCTACTACTTTCTTTTCTCTTTGAGTTTTTCCATTGCATGGTAACGATTTCTTTTCCTTATTTCTAGGTGTTTGTGTCGTACTGTTCTCTGTTGAGCTGCTATCGCCAGAGTGAGTTCTTTTGCGGGATCGAGGTCTTAGACTACGCACTGGTTCATCAGAATTCTGAAAAATGTAAATTTAATATTAGTATGATGAAAGTAACAATAACACTTTAACTTGGTCACCATCGAAACATTCAATCGTGAAAATATTTAATAAGCAGTTTATTAATATATTATCAAATTGAATAGATTTAAATAGAAACAAACAATGATGAGGTGGCTCAAAGGTTTCAAATTCTTTTCCCGCTTCTCATGCATTTGAGTGCGGGTTCGAAACCTACCAACAGCAAGTTCCAATGTGACTTATTATGAGTTACAAGTACTTTCTAAGATTATCTAGACACACCACTGACAAACAGTGAAGGAAAACATAATAAGGAAACCTGGGCTTATAATTTCTAATTATAAGTTTAATATCGCCAACCAGAGAAATAGAAGCATAGATTTGCCTGATAAGCCAACCTGTTACAGGTGCAACTACCAAGTGAGGACTCTGAACACTATTTGAAAATCCCTTCACATAAGACCTGGATCACACGGATGAAACCTATAATTAAGTATTTATAAAACTGAAGATTGAATTTAACTACAATTAGCAATCTGTCAGATTAACATTTCATTCACATTCTATGCAATTCAATAATAAACAATTACCTTAATACTTTTAGCAGGTTTACTGTCACTTGTTTCTGGTAGATTAGGTTCATCACCAAAAGAGACTGCAGATATAACTTCTGCAGCCCTGGAATCATCCCCACTCCCGCTTGGGGATGCTGGTTTGTCAGACACAGAAGTACTAGACATCATACTGTTGCCACCTTCACTTCCATCCTTGCTGTTATCCTCACTCTGTTCCATATTACCATTACTTTCTACATCATGTTGCCTTCTAAGTTGCATAATACTTTGTCTTATTTTATCTATCGGATTATATTCCAAATCATTTGATACATAGTCATCACATTTGTAACTGAAAGGAGAAATATACATTAATTTAGTTTTATCGATCAAGATTCCTAGATAGTAAAAGATAAGTAAGTTTGTTCTTATACCAGTAAACTGAATAGACATCACAGCTCATACAGAGCTGGTGGTCTGATGTCTCTGCATGAAGTTTTGCATGCCCGTTGATATAGCGACCACAGTTGACTGCTCCGCAATGCAGGCACAACCAGTTTTGTCCTTCGGCAGCACATTCTTTAAATACAAGATGAACACCTTAATACAAGTTTTCCACTAATGTTCACATGTAGGTATCTATTTTATACATTTCCAACTGGACTCAGATGGACAAAAGTAGTTCAAACCAAATCTAATCTAGTGTTACTTTAGTAACGCACTCAATAAGTCTGCAAAACAATCTGATAATAGTCTTATTGCGTGTGTTTATTTTGCGTACATGTATGCCAGTGGGATATTACAAATATTTAGATAGCAATGCGGTAAAACCAAACCTCGCCCCTGGTGTGTATACCACTAACAAACTTGAAAAGTCACTATTAATATGTAAACCAGTTGAACATACTGTAAATCTCCTTAGATTGTTTTTATGGGTCATAGTTTTCGATGAATCTTATTCGAAGCTACTCGAAGCGGGTCGAAATGCATATTATCATAATCATATACGCCGCCATGGTGGTCGGCTTGTTTCTAGTCGAAAATAGACCAGTGGCACGATGTAGTTAACATTATTTTAACCATCGCGTCAGAAATGCGACATCGTCAGTCACGGTCACCCATACCGCGCCCCCTCCCGTTCCCCTCGAACAGCTGATTATTAAAGTTCGTTGTATTGATTTTTCTATACTAACCTCCTGTTATGAGTACAATGCGGCAACTTTTCACATATACCCATTATAGGACATTGACTAGAGCATTTTGGCTACAAGAAAAATAATCTATTTACCTGAACAATTGAAGTTCTTTGTGATCGTCGTATCCTCAACGTTGAAATTATCTGCCTTGACGTTATCTAATAAATGTGTACATTCCATTCTTCATAATACGATAGAATCGAAATAGTAACACATAAATTTAATTCATAGAATATTAAATAAATAAAATTGATTTTACTGAAGCGCTGCGCCTCAAGCTCAATAAAATTTACTCTTCGTAGCAAGCAAGAAGCAAGCAAGCCTAAAATGAATGAATGAACGAGAGCGACATATTTATTTCCTTCATTTTAGTTTGGGTATTCCATGAGTGAGAACGAGAAGGCAGATCCATCTGAAAAACACAACAATTACCTTTCATTCGGATACATTCACAAAATATAAAATGGGCTTGCTAATAATATTGCCTAATTTTTAGGATCTAAAATTGCTATAATCTTTTTGAAATTATAGATTCAGAATAGAATTACAGGACGTTAATAAATCAAATTACTTTGATATCATATTTATTTTTGCCCTCATATCAAATCATTTACAGTTTACTTTGGGCACCAAGATCCATATAACATTATTATCTCTTTTTCTTCGTTAGTACCGTAAAATCATTTTTATTATGCTCTTTTCTCACAGTAGTTTAGTCGATTAAATGACGAAAAAACTATGTACCTACCTATTTGTTTTATGACCTTGAATTTACCTGAACTATGCTTCTCGACGTACAGACCCACCCTCGGCCAATCATTAATCTATTAACATATGAACTCCTATGTAAATTTAACTAAGGAATTCCTTTTGTTATGTCCGTCCGGCTCCATTATTAGCAGTCGACTGTCTATAGAAACTAGGGTGAAGTAAAAGTTTTTCTTACAGGACTTACGTGGGGTTAAAATAGCATGCCGTTATCTATGGCTAAACTCAGGGTTTACTGACCTTGCAGTTAAGGGGTCAGTAAACCCAGTATAAAGGTAAAACCTTTCCACAGACACGTACCAGAACACCTACTCTGTGGTGCAGTTGTGCATGTTTTGTTTGGGTCAAGGTTCCAGGTGCCATCAATAATATACTCCAACTGCTTACATTTGGTAAGGAGTGTACAGTTTCAATTAATAAGAACCTAGGTACTAATTGCATGCCATAGAGATAAAGTGGCAAGTAATTCTTAATACATTAATATTAGATACTTCTACACCAATAAAAACACATTAATAGAACTTGAGAACATTCGAAATTGAATTAAATTTATCTCAAGTGGGAAATCAGCAGTTTTAGTGCAATAAAAGAAACAAATAGATGTTAATTATTTATTATAAATCCTTAATTACGTCTGCCACCATAGCCGCCTTGTGTGGCTGGCTGCGTCAGTTGCAGACCGTTGATGTTATTGAAGTCGAGCATCTTCAACATGTCCTTGGTGTCGGGGTCAACTTCAATGATGTCATGCTCTAGGGCGGAAACCTCGGGCACATAGTTGTCACGCCTCTCACGCTCCTCCTCTTGCAGTTTGATGGAGATTCCTCTGACCTGGGAGTGCCTGAGACGCCTCATCAAATGGGTAGCAAACCTGGAATCAAGATAATGTGTGTCAAATATTTTTAGATCATGATTATTATTCAAAACCACTGACTTACGAGGAGCATCTCACATAAAGGGAGTGTTTGACATAAATACCACACAAGCAATGATATTATAAATAATAAAAAGAGGTAGATATCGCACTGGCACGCAAAAATTGTTGCGAACGAATTCAGACAATTGTCGTAATTTTATAATAGCTATCTCTTTCTGTACCATACTTTCCGTATTATCTGTCGCACGTAGTTGAAAATGACATTTAAGTACTTTTGTAATAAGGACAACAATTTTTGGACACCGCTTAGTATGAACGTAGCGTATCTTCTTTATAATATCATTGCACACAAGAGCAATCAGTTACCTAATATCAGTTGCCTATATAGCTGAAAAGTTATGAATTCCAGAATACTGATTGAGTGTCAGGATAAATTATATATTGATCAACCAATTTAAGTAATAAACACTTAACTTTTACTTGTGTTTTTTCTATTTCAGAGATATAACCAATAGTGTTGATTTATTGAGTTTGTTTACATTTGAGGAATAAGCTATGATTTGTAATTAATTATTTATTTGACAAATTAATGCATAAAAACACATCAACCTAAATACTGCAAGATATGGTACTCAAACCTATACATAAATTTGTGTAATGTACTCCTAACCTTACTGTGTTAAATACAGAAATTTATAGCAAAATTTAATAAATAACAAATAGCATGCACTAGTTATGTTTTATAAGGATGGGTTTGTGAGTGCGATTATCTGCAATTAATAAATAAACAACATAAACTGTGAATTTACAAAATTAGAGAAAGTAATACATACCCAGCGATTTTGTTACGCAGGGGCTTGGTAGGAATGATGGCGATTTCCTCACATATCCTCTTGTTTGTGTCGAAGTCAAGAGTCAGTCTGGTGTAGTATTTTTCGATAATAATCTTAGCCGCTTTCTTGACGGTCTTAGTCCTGACACGACCCTGCAATTTTCAGAGGTTACTTCGTAAATAAGCTTCATAATCGATAATTCACTACATAAAAAAGAAATTAGGAAACAGAGATACAACTTTTTCACAAGATTGTAACGATATTTTAAGATTTAAGATAATATAAATTATTCACCATGGCTGAAACACTGCAGCAACCTTCACTGACAGATACGAAAGAACTTAAAAGAGAAAGAGATTATTTTGACTTTGACAGTACAGTAACTCGGTAAGTCTGGGTGGCGAGACGAAACTATATCAAAATATTGTCTATGGCTTAATCTTAGGGTGACCAGTATATTTCTTTTAAAAATGCATATCCCAACAATTAGTACCCTTTTAACATCTTGGGACTTGGCATAAATAAACGTGTATACCTACTGACAAATATCACTCTAAATATGGCTACTTGAGGTCACTCATCATTATCCGAAATATACGTGAAGTTTATAATCCTACAGCTATCAAACTTGTGTACATTGCCCTAGTTTGTACCAAACTAAAGACAGCATTTTGTTGTGTGAATTTATGGAACCCTCATGAGAGTACTTATGCTTTATTGTTGTAGAAAATACTAGAAGCATTTTTTAGATTTCAACTGCCTGCCTCTGCCTCGTTGATCGGGTGATCGCAAGTACGACTTCCAAACAAGGGGTCTCGAGTTCCATTCCCGGGTGGGGCAAAGACCTATTACACGGGACTCATAACGTAAATAGTGAAAAGTGGATATTACATTGTATCATGGCATTCGTAATGTGCCTACCTGCCTACCCCTTCGGGGGTATAAGGTGTTATATGATATTATATTGAGTTATTTATATACAAAAAGCTATTTGGTTATTATCTATTCTTATCCTACCAATATTTTATTAGGCATGTTAAATTTTTCAGTCTTTGGTAGTGAAGCGAAGTTACTCTTTAGTCAAATATCTAACTATATATGGTTTTGGCTTGTGTTGTAAAATTATGCATAATGGCTGCCGTTCCTAATAACAATATTATAATTTGTATATTGTTATGTGAGATGAGAAATTAAACAGGGTTAAAATTAAAATTTTGGATATGGCAACAATCAGGAAACATATGTTGACAAAATTTTGTCTCTGGTAAAATTCTCCATTTCGGTTCTCCATTGAAATACCGTGTGTGCTTGATTTTGCCGCGTTTGAACGCATGCTGTGATCCCATTAGAATAAAGAAACCGGCACATCTATTTTACTATTTAGTGTTATTAGAAACTTTATTTTAAAGCCGAATTATATCTATAGTTTGTTATAACTAATAAAACGTCAAAATGTTTTGGGGTAAGTAAATTTAACCGGTAGTTCCAATATCACCACGTGTTGGCACCGCATTTAAGCTTTTAAACACTTAACTACAGAATAAATCTTTTTATATTTGTTACAACTCTACTACGATTACTATGAACATTAGAGAATTTAATGCTGTATGCTATACGTTCCTACTTTGTGTGTTAGCCCGGCTTCTAGATTGCCTAGTACATCTGTCTATACCTACATATCTATATTTTTTTTGAACTAGCCTCGGTATACTAAGCTTTTAACAGATGTTTTTACCCAATGGGACAGTAACATGTTGCAATATTTTTGGTTGTAAATCGCATGTTTTAAAATAGCTATTTGACCACATGTGGTTTGTCAGAATGTTCTTGACCAAACATTACCTTCAATTAGATGTTATGCTACAGTTCCATTGATATTGTGAAATGTATCGTAATACGAAAGAAACAATGGTTAAATCATTATGAAATTATGCTCAAAAAATAAACAATGTACACAATTTTGCAGGACTTATTATGGAACCGAACAAACGGTACACCCAAGTGGTGGAGAAGCCGTTCCACATCTCACAGGCAGCTATGGACATTAGCACCGGAGACAATGATCCCTGCCAAGTCATGGTAGTGGTTGATGGCAAAAACTTCCTAGTGTGCACATTACAGAAAGGCAAGATTATTCAGGTGCCCTTGGACTTATATTTCAAATCAGGAGATGCAGTTTCATTCTTGACAAATGGTAAGTATTTGATTTCTTATACAATGTAGATTGGCGAAGTTAAAAATACCATGATTTACAACATATTTTAAGATATTGTGAAACAGATCCTTAATTTATTTAATTTTTTACAGGTAAATGCAATGTTCACTTGACTGGTTACCTTGATCCTGAATTTGAGGAGGATTTGGAGGATGAGGAAGATGCTGAAGAAGAAGAGGAGGAGGAGGAGGCTCCACCTCTAGTGCCAGCTAAGAATAAGAGGAAACTCGAGAATGCCAATGATGCCACAGCTAACAAAAAGGCCAAGGTAAAGTAACTTTAATATTATTTAACTTGATAACTCTCTCCATTCATAATATTCATGATAAATAATTGTTCATTTCATAATAATCATAATAATCATGTTTGATGAGGTAAATTGTCTAGTTTCAAGTCTAACTAGGAGTTCATAGTAATGAGTTATAACTTGTAATACAAAAACTATATAATAATGATAAAAAATCACAGCCTGACAAGAAAGCTGGCA